CATTTGGCACTGCCCTCACCAGCTACACCCCCACCTGCCAAGGGAGCCCACTGGTTTGCATGATCCCCAGCCACACCTCCACCTGCTGAGGTAGCCACCTGGTTGACACCACCCATCAGCCACACCCTCTCCCACCTTGGCAGCCCATTGGCTGGCACTGCCCCAGTGACCTCCCCCACCCCAAGCAGGCAGGGACCCCAACCAGGCAGGGACACTCACGCAGGTGATGACCTCGAAGCCTGGCTCATCCTCCAGGCCTGCAGAAGGGTCACCCAGGGCCCTCTGGGCAGTGCCGTCCTCATGGTGCAGGGCCCCACGGAAGAAGTTGGTGACTTTGGAAAAGCCCCCAAAAGCGGCAGTATAGGGGTCCTGCAGAAACCGCTGCAGGGGAGAGGGGGAAAATGGGGGGTCACTCCATACCCAGAAATAGAACCCAGGCATCCAGCCTCCTCCTGCTCTAACCCACCAGACTCACTCCCTCCCCAACACTGAGATACAACTGAGGCATTCAGGCTCCCAGCTCTCCCTGCAGCATGCATCAAGGTGCTGGTAAGGGGTGGGGGGGAGCCCCAGGGTGTGTGGAACCAGGAGGGGGAGAGAGAGAGTGTGTGCCGGGGGTGGGGGGCAACGATGATGACGACTCACCGACACCAGGTTGGAGGAGTTGTCATCAAAGAGCTGCAGCTCATCGAAGGAGTGCGAGAGAGCATAGGAGTCATGCGTGTACACCAGATAGAGGCGCGAGTCCTTGGGGGAGCTGTGGGGAGGCAACCGTGAGCCCCCTCTGGGCTGCCTGCCCCGATCCCCAACACAGCGAGTGCCCCCCATTCTATACTGACAGCTCCAACCCTGCCACGCCTCCCCAAAGACCTCCCCTTCCACCTCCCCATAGCCATCCCAAAGAGCTCCTAGGGACCTCTCCATCACGGGTGCTGCGAGCTTCCACCAGTAGTGCCCTGGCAGCGTGATCTCCTACCCTGCCCCTGAAGCAATAAGCTTCCTCCCGGCAGTAGCCCAGCTGGACTTCCTCAGCTCCCCCTAGCCATAAATGGGCCCCTCTCTCCCATTCAGTGCTGCGAACTTCCTTTGGCAGTGCCCTGGCTTTCCCCAGTCGTGAATCGGCACTCCTTCCCCATCCAGTGCCGTGATCTTCTCTCCCAGCAGTGCCCTAACTTCCCCCCAGCTATGCATGGGCCCCTCCTTTCAAACCCAATGCAGTGAGCTTCCTCCAACAGTGCCCTGGCTACCTCCAGTCATGAACAGGCCCTTCCTTTCTCAACCAATGCTGTAATATTCCCTCCAGCAGTGCTCTAACTGCTCCTCTTCCCCACAACTCACGTGGCCAGGATGAGGTACTTGCAGAGAGCCCGCAGCAGGGCTTTGGTGCCACCCCGGTGGAAGTGCAGTGCCTGCAGAGACACCCCGTCCTTGGTGATGAAGATGAGGTACGACCAGCCCAGGCCCGGACGGCTCTTGCGGATGGACTTCAGCTCTGACAGGCTGATGGAGAAAGCCCATTGCCCCCGGGGGCTGGGCGGAGGGGCCACAGGGACTGTGCGAGAGCATGGAAGAGACAGAATAGGGTCCTTGCAACTTTTCCCTTTCCATAGTGCTTCCCACACCCCCAACACTACCCCACAGATGTCCTCACAGCCACCCCTAGCACAGCCATGCACCCAACCCCAAGACCATTTGTGCAAACACCCCTCCCACCTAAAGATGTGCTGCCCCCTAGCAACGCCCAGTGCTGTGATCTTCCCCCCAGCAGTGCTCTGGCTCCCATAGCCAGGAGACCCCCCATTGGCTCCCATTCCCTAGGCAGCTCCAACTGCCCCAGCCCTGCCTCCCAATTTGCTGCCCCATTACCTGGGGGCTCATCCTGGACGCGTGGCCGAGTCCCCACAGTGCTTATGACAGCCCAGTCGGGTTCATAGCCAGGGTCGAAGAGAACTTCTTCTGTTGTGCTGCCTGAGAGATCCTGGGAGGGGGGGCAGGAAGCTGGGTCAGGGGAGGGAGGAGCCCCCAACAGAGAGGCAGGAGCAGGAGATGCTCACCTTCTTGGAGAAAACAATCTGGGGGGCATCACCAGCCTCCTCCACTGGTGTCCACTGCAGCACGGTGTCCGAACCCTGGGCACAGAGAGCAGTGTAAGAATCTTGCCAGTGCCCCTCACTCCTGACCCACAGCCCCCTCCCCCACAATTCTGCCAGGGCCTCTCCCTCTCAACATGCAGACCTGCCCCTCACTTTTGACCTCTGGACACCTGCCACAACCCAGGACTACCAGTGCCCCCCACACCCAACCCACAGTGCACCCCTCCCCCCATTACCTTCTCGACGATGCGGATGACTCCAGGGATGAGTGAGTCCTGGTCCTGGTGCCGCTTGGCACTTGTGTGTAGAAAGACGCTGTCTTTCTCAAAGACCACCTGGGGGGAGGCACCGGTGGAGCGTCAGGGGGTCAACAGCAGACAGATCCGGGCAGAGGGGACTCCTCCCAGCCCAGGACCCAAGGCCTGGTCCCTACCCCTCAAGGCCCACTGCCCCGACCCAAGGTGCCCTCCTTGCCCCAGCCTGGGCATTCCCTCCAAAACAGCCCCAGCCCCAGCCCCAGCCCCACAGGGTCCCTGACTCTAATCCGGCCCCTTCCTCTACCCCTACCCCTACCCCCATCTGAACCCCGCACCTTGTAGCCCTCTGACTCCATCCTCCCTGACAGCCACTTCCGGAAACAACAAAACGTCACTTCCTGTAAAAAGAACCCCACCCCTTTCTCTCCCCCCCTTCGGGGGCGGCGCCATATTTGTGCAGGGCAACCACATGTACTGTAAGGGGGGTGAGTAATTAGGGGGGGAGCATTTTTATTAGGGGAAAGGAAGGCAGCAGGAGCGCCATCTTTGTGAGGGGCAAGAGGGACTAGGGAGGGAGCCGCGTCTCCCGCCGCCATGTTTGTGAGCGGCACAAGAGGAGTGCCCGTACGAATGCGGAACAGCGAGAGAAGAGCCGCCATGTTTGTGCGGGGCAGTGGCCTGTGTGCACAAGAGCATAGGGAGCCGCCGTGTTTGTACGCGGCACAGCCTAAGTCACGGAACTGTTTAAACGCCAACTTCCGGGGGGCGCCATGCTTGTGCGGGGTATGTTCCGGGGCCGCCATGCTTGTGTGGGGCAGCTCCCCGGAGGCGAGGGGCGGAGGTGGCTGCTGTTTGGTGGAGCCGCTCCTGACGGGGCTATAAGGCGGGGTGAGAGGTCAAGGGTCAACGTGACATTAGCGGGGCCGCGCGGTGACCCGACCCGCGGGGGCTGGGCGCGACGGAGGCCGGCAGGCGCAGGTAACGGGGCCTTGGGATCCCCCGAGCCGGAGGAGGTGGGTAGAACCCAGGCGTCCGGGCCC